TCGGATCCTTCAGATGAAAGAAAACCTAATGATAGACCACTTTTGAGGAGAAGGATTTTATGCCTAATTTATCTATCTATATTATATTAGGTTATTTGACCAGATAATTTCTCTACTATATACTTCCCTCTGCTAAATATTATTTTAATTATGAAATATATTTAATAAATTGCTAGAATTTTACCCTGAAACTACTTTCCTGATTCATCAAAGAATATGATTTTTTAAAGACTTGTTCTCTTTTATTAGGAAAGCCCCATCTGCTGGTTTATTTGGGGAAGTGCAACATCGTTATTTGAGCCTCAAGTCCCTGAAATAATGGCCATTTTTACAATTTCTCTTTACCTTTTAGTTATTTTATTTTATTTATTTTTTTAGAGACAAGGTCTTGCTCTGTCACCCATGCTAGAGTGCAGGGGTGTGATGATAGCTCATTGGAACTTCAAACTCCTGGGCTCAAGAGATCCGTCTGCCTCAGCCTCCCCAGTTGCTAGGACTAGCGGCATGTACTACCATGCCTGGCTAATTTTTCTTACTTTTTCAGGGACAGGCTGGTCTCAAACTACAGGCCTCAAGCAATCCTCCCACTTCAGCCTCCCAAATCGCTGAGATTACAAGCATAAGCCAGTATGCCCAGTGCCTTTTAGTTACTTTAGAAGCATAGACAGAAGGAGTGTGCCAACTGTTATTTTTATCCTAAAATAATAGAGCCATGTAATTTAGCGGAATCATCTTGAAGAAATAATCTCACAAATATGATCGTGAAATATGGCCATAATAGTGATAACTGATATTTGTTCCTTACATATATCCTCTATTAGTTTAATTTGCCATTTTTTCCATCATAGGGAGCTTCCATTTTGAGAATGCTTGAAGACTGGTTAACACCTGAGAAATTTCAGAAAGGATGTCAGGTATTATTTACTATTTTTAGTGGCATTAAAAGTAAATTACACTGATATGTGGCTGATATGTGATTCACTGAGGACAATTTCCTTACTCAGGGATAGAGAATGCGGCAAAAGATGAAAAGGCGATTTCACATCCAGTCGAGTACCTACATTGTATCTGTAGTCATCATTTAGCAGGATTTTCGTAGAGAAGTTAAAAAAGCTTACTCAGTTATTTTTAATATCCTTTACATGTGTATTAGTCAGCTTGGGATGCCATAACAGAATACCGTAGACGGGGTGGTGTAAACAACAGAAATAAATGTTGTTCTCATAGTTCTGGAGGCTGGGAAGTCTCAGATTAAGGTGCTACCAGTTCACTTTCTGGGGGGGTGGCCCTCTTCCTGGCTTGCAGGTGGCCATCATCTTGCTGTGTCCTCCCATGGCAGGGAGAGAGAGAGAGAGAGAGAGAGAGAGAGAGAGAGAGAGAGAGAGAGAGAGAGAGAGAGAGCTCTCCGGTGTCTTACAAAAACACTGGTCCTACCACGAGGATCTCACCCTCATGACTTCATCTAACCCCAATACCTCCCAAAGCCTCGGTTTCCAAATTCCGTCCCATTGGGGTTAGAGCTTCAACGTATGAATTTCAGCGAACACACTTCATTCCATAGCACCATGATATGATATAAAAATGTAAGTCTATCTATAAGGGTCTTCCCTTACAGTGAGTGTAACTTTCCCCCTATTATTGGATTGGAAAACGATCACTATAAATATTCTTCTTAGGATGGAGTCAATGAATAAGAGGGCCTGCTTACTTTTGGAAACAGAAATGGCAGTACGCTTTCTAAAGTATTTCACACGTCCCGCTTAAGTGGCTATTTCAGTTTCATTTTTGTTCTTCTACCAGACCCTAAGCCAGCGGTCCCCAGCTTTTTTGGCAACACGCCTAGTTTCATGGAAGGCAATTATTCCACGGATGGGAAGGGGTAGGGCGGCGGAGCTCTGTGGCCCTGTCCTGGACAGGCCATGGACTGGTACCAGTCAGCGGCCAGGGGGTTGGGGACCACAGCCCTAAGTCAACTGTCTGGGTGTTTGTTCTTCTTAAACATCATCGAAGTAGCCACAATGTGTCTGCATAACTGCCCTGTCCACAGGCTGGCCCTGCTCCAACCTAGAAATAGAATGTTTTCCTTCCTCCTGCGTCCTCCCTCCTGCGGTACCCAGGTACCAGGCAGAGCTGTGCTGACGTCATCCAGCCCCCAAAGCAGAAAACAGGTCGCAGTAGCGCCCCCCTCTGGCTCCCACCGAGATAGCAGTATTGCTTCTGGGTGTCATTCCCCAGGACAAGGTCACCCTTCCCAAAGCTCTCACTACCAGCCTGTCTCTTATGTGGCGTTTAGCCCTCTCTATACTACCCCTAAAAGAAATTGATCCCTGTCTATCCAATACTAAAACACCTAAGTGACTATTAAAGTAAGAAATAAGATCAGGATTTACGAAATGTTTGGAAAGTGCATCAGTACCTTTTCCTCCTTTGTCCATTACTAAAATATTTTGTGTATACATTAGGTGCAAAGGGAGAAGCTATGTGTTTGTGCTTATGTGTACATGAGAACATCTTGTAACTTTTCTATCAGCTTCAAACTCAAATTTTGTCATATCCTCTCTCACTGAAAGCACCTGTAACCGGGAACTCCAACTTCTACATCTTTGCATATACTCCAGTCCCTAGTTGAATGTATTACCTATGTTAGGTGAACCAGAAAATGTTTATTAAATGAATTAATGAGTGAATAGTCTATAATAAATAATACAGAATATAGAAATAAACAGAAGTCATTTTTCAAAAATTAAGTTAAAATCCCATTTGCATAGTTTTCATTTTAAATTAAATTGTAATTGATGAACAGCATATTCGTGGTATCTTCAGAGCTGATTTCAAATTAAATAATCTTTCATATTAACTTTTTTATAGAAGTAACAAGAGTCCTTAAAAGTGAATAGCTGTTCTAATAATTCAATAATATTCTCACATTTCTTTTAAACAATGTTATAATAAATAATAAAAAGCAGTCTTATATAGAATGAATATTTCTCAAGTTAAAACAGTCTTCCTCTACCCTAACTGTGACTACACAGGGTGTTGGAAATTGAACTAGGATGAATAGATGTTAATTTTTCATATCATTGTAGTGCTATGGAATGAATTTGCCAAAAAAATACTCAAACACTCTTTTTCTTCAATATTCAAACATTAGCTAATATCTGAAAATGTGATCTATATAAGCAACACTCAGTAAGTTCTCAGACCAACTGGAACATTCCTTCACACTGTTTAAGCATCCGAACTGTATCCTCCTCGAGTTGTCATCATCACTCTGTGATTGTTGCCCTTAATTCCCACAATCTGTGAAAGTGGAGTTCAAGGTCTTTCCCTTGAGAATGCTAACTTTCTCCCCAAAATGACTGTCCGTTAGCTAACCTGGTATGGTGCTAAATCTGGGGATGGCCAGTTGCCTGTTCTCTTTGATGCTCACCACCCAAACTCAACCTCAGACAGCAAAATAGGCACGGGGCAGGGGTGACTAAGAGCAAATTATCAACTGGAAAATCTTTAAGGCTATAGTTGTACAGAAGAAAGTATAGTAGATAACAGGACATTCATAACACCTATGGTTATAAAATAGGAACCAAGAGATATATTTGTCTTTTCTCTTCCTTCTAGTATCAGTAGTATCCCTAATAAGACAGGAATGGCTCAGCTGAAAAAAGTCTTCTCTCTTTCAGGGACACTAGTAATAGAAACATTGTTCTTTTCCTTTTGTGCTCACTGATACCAGCTAATGAGGAATTGTGACTTAGTCATCACGTAATTTTGACTACATCATAATTATTCAAGGTGAAGAAAAAAATTTCTTAATATAGAATATTCAGAAGCACTAATCTAGATAATATAAAATTAGTACCTTTAACATACTGTTTATATAAATTTCCATTTAGTCTCTAGTCCAGGAGAAGCAAGGAATTGCAATTTACAAAACCAACAGTGATAAAAACGACACACACTGATCCAGGATCTAGACGTCTCATATTAATCTCAGGCAAATCTGTTCACCTCTCTGTGTGCCCAGGTAGTTAGGCAGAGCAGTTTCTTCACCTCAAAAATGTGGGAGCTGTATTAAATAATATTTAAGGTCCCTTCCAGTTCCAAGATTGTACATTTCTAATTTCAAGACATTTTGAGTATGCAACTAAACTGATATAAATTAATTTTAAGAAGACAGTATTCTATAGAAATTGTCATTAACACATAGCTATGGTTATAATTATTATTATAGGAAGTATTCCCTGGAATGAATACCTAAAATCGATCAGTCTTTGCGGTGTCTCCCTTCCTTTGCCTGCCCCCTGGTGGTAGTTCCAAGAAGTGAATTAACCAAAAGAACAAACACGGAGGCCGCCATTTCAAACTGGCTTCAACCCTATTCCAAACTTCTTGGGAGTCCTGCAAAATTGTTTTATCTCTCTGTGCCTGAAGAGAAATTTAGAAGATAATGTGACTTAGGTACACCACCTACCGAAAATTATAGCAACTTAGAGTGAAAATGATATGTGCAAAGTTAACAATTAGGAACATTCTATCAGACTTCCACTTTTCAAAGGGGACAATTCTAGAAAGTAACAGAGGAGTGATACAGCAGGAAGTTTGGAAAGTTTCCTGGAAAACCGCAAATGGCTCCCAGTTATGGGATTAGGAGAAACCTGGGAATTTTTCCTGGGTGTATATCATGCTACATCTGAAAAATTCATGTACAGAAAGCTTTTGTGAACAGAGGGAGAGCCTTCTCTTTAAAGGATTTGTATTTTTAAATATTTGAAGAGTGAAGACATTCTCTAAAGTGAATAATGTCCTCAATTCACCCATCATCATCATCGTTAATATTACTATTCGAAGGTTGTAGATGCATTTCCTTGGAGCAGAGGCCAGCAAACTGCTGTCTGCAGGCCAAATGTGGGCTACTGCTCTTTTTCTTTCCCTTAGAGATGGGGTCTCACTATGTTGCCCAGAGTGCAGTGGCTGTTCACAGAAACAATCATACCTCACTGCAGCCTTGCACTCCTGGTCTCAAGTAATCCTCGTGCCTCTGCCTCCGGAGTAGCTGGGACTAAGAGGCACCACTGTGCTCAGCCTCCATCCATTTTTTTAAGGCCCATGCACTCAGTAAGGTTTCTACATTTTTTAACGGTTTGAAAAAATCATAAGAAGAGTATTTCATGATTCATGAGTATGGAATTCAAATATCAGTGTGTGTGATCTTTTTGGAAGACAGCCATGCTCCTTCATTGACATTTTGTCTATTCTGGTTATGTGCTAGGGAGGCAGATTGAGCAGTTGTGACAAGTGGTTCAGTTCATATCGTGGAAGTATGAGAGAAACAAACACTGATTTCTAAAATTCTTATGTTTTACATACAGATGTACTTGGAAAAATTCAAATTCAAGAATGCAAAAACTTCAGATTTTTGGGAAGCACTGGAACAGGTAAGGAAGAGTATATCCCCAAATATTTCTTTGTCAGACTTACAAATGATTTCCCAATCCTTTTTTTTTATCTGACTATTCTATCCTTTCATTTTCCCTTATTTGTTAATTAATTGATCTCCAATTTTTTCTTAATGTTAGGCAAGTAATCTATCAGTGCAAGAAGTCATGGACACCTGGACCAGACAGATGGGCTATCCCGTGCTCGATGTGAAGGACGCTCGGAACATTGTACAGAAACGCTTTCTGTTGGACTCAAGAGCTGATCCTTCCCAGCCACCTTCAGCTCTTGGGTAAGGCTCTATAATGAATTTCAGAAGAAAAGGAGAAATTTGGCAGAAATACTGGTCATTTGCTTAGATCCTGCTCTTGAGTACATGATCGGTGGGTACAAAGGCATAGTTCTCTTGGGAGAACAAAGGGATTCAAGCCATCAAAAAGGCATTTAAGAACTCTTTTAGGAGACATTTAAGACTGAAATGTTAAGTAATATTCTATCAAAATACAAAGTTAACTCCCCCTACCTCCATTCTATACTAAGAAAATACTAAGCAGCTAAAGAGAACAACTGGAAGCTCCTGAAACATGCTTACCTGATGATTTTTCTTTTGCAGCAAACTAGTTCCCATGATTCCAAATAGGGAATATTTACAGGAGAGTGGGAGAAGCTTTGGGGGATGGCGGTGGTGGTATAATTTTGACATAATTTCTAAAATGTGTTATTTCCTTCACAGAGTTTCACAGATTGTCTTCTAAATTCTAAAAATGTCATGTGTTCCTTGACTGAAACACGTCAGAGTGTGTGCAACTTTGTGTGTGAATGCTCAATATTATAATATAATGTGTCATATTTCTACAATTTGTGCAATTATCTTTATTCCAATGCCTCAAGGAATTTTATTGAAATGATAGTCTTCATCCTTAGCTAACCTTTTGACACAAATTTCTACATTTTATAGATGAAATTGAAAGTAGCTACACAGCCTATCTTCATCACTAAAGAGTGTTGTATTAACTATATTAATTGTATATTATACACTAGATAATCATGTATAAGGAAAATTGGCTTTAATTATTTTTACTCTTGAAATTTTCATCTTTCAGTGATAAAAGTTAAATTTTTCTTTTTCAAAAATTTTAGTTACACATGGAATATTCCAGTTAAATGGACTGAAGATAATATATCAAGTATTACACTCTACAATAGGTCAGAAGAAGGAGGTAAATATTATCAGTTGATTTATTTCTTCTTTGAATGAATGTACCACATTAAACTAATATAAGCGTAAAGAAACAACAATAAAGCTGGAACGCATACAAATTTCAGCTAAATAATGATTCCAAATCTTTATCTACAATGAGAACTTTTCTGCCTTGAGATATTCTTCTCAGTGATTTACTATGATTGACCCAATAATAAACAGCATATCCAAAGGAGAAGGGTCACATACTCAACCACTGGAAGATCAATGTATAAATTTTCCTTCTCCCTTTCCCTCCCTCCCTTGACCCCCCTCTCCCTTTCTTCCTTCCTCCTTTCTTTTTGATTTTT